CCTTAATGATTGTAGGGATCAGAGGGCACACATATGTCATCTCCCCATTTTTGAATGTAAGTAATTTATTCTCCCTTAGTCTTTTATCACTTCTTAATAAGGGGTGAAAGGATGTTCATTATCACCATTATTATTCAATATTATACAAGAGATGCTAGCTCTAGAAATAAGAAAGAAGGAATAAATATAGGCAGTGAAGAAACAACACTCATTCTCTACAGATGATATAATGGCATCTTAATGAACCCTAAAGAATCAACTAAAAGAAAAACTAGTTGAAATAATGAACAACTTTAGCAAAGTTGCAGAATGTCAAATAAATCCACATAAGTCATCAGCATTTCTATATGTTACCAACAAAACCCAGCAAAAAGAGATAGAGAAATTCTGTTTAAAATAACTGTAGACAATATAAAATACTTGGGAGTATATGTACCAGGACATAACCAGGAACTATATGAACCCAATTACAAACACTTCACACCAGTAAAAATAGATATAAACACTGGAAAAATATCAATTGCTCATGGGTACGCTGAGCCAATATGATAAAAATGACAATTTACATAATTTACTTATTCAGTGCCATACTAATCAATCTACAAAATAATTATTTTGTATCTCTCTTAACTCCTGTGTTTGTACTTTAAAGTTTCTACACACTTCTGGTCTCTATCAGGAATGCTTGTTAGTCTTCTATTTCATTAAAGGTGTGTTTTTTCCTCAGTTTTGCTGGGTCCGTTATTCTTGGCTATAAGCCCATACCTTTTGACTTCTGGAATATTCCAATTTCTCTGCCCCTTTACAGTGATGACTGCTAAGCCACTGATTATGGCTCCTCAGTACTTGAATTCTTTCTGGATGCTTACAGTATTTTTTCTTTAACCTGGAAGCTCTGGACTTGGACAATGATGTTCCCTGGAGGTTTTGTCTTGGGGTTTCTTTCAGGAGATGATTGGTTGATTCTTTCAATTTCCACTTTGCCTTTTGGGTCTAAAGGATATGGACATTTTTCAGATTTTTTGAAATACAATATCTAGGCTTTTTTTTTGTCATAGATAGTTCAATGATTCTTAAGTTTTTTTCTCCTCAATCTCTTTTTCAGGTCAGTGTTGTTATTGATTTTTGTGTGGGATATCTTACATTTTCATCCATTTTTTCAGCCTTTTGACTTTGTTCTAATATTTCTTGTTGACTTACAGAGTCATTGACTTCTATTTGGTCCATTCTGACTTTTAGGCAATTTGTTTCTTGGACAAGGTTTTGTACCTCTTGTGCTAACCCTTTCCAATTCTTTTTCCCATTATTTCTCATTTCTGTTCCAGTTTTTTCCTCAAGTACTCATTCCATTTATAAAAACATTTTAACTCTTGCCTACAGGAGTTCTAGCTGAGTTTGTGCTCAATATCTATATGTATTTTGTAGTTACTCTCTTCTGTGCTTGTGTCTTGACTGTCTGCCACTGTAGTACCTCATTACGGTGGGGTTCTTTCATTTTTCTTTGTGTGTTCTACTTTCTGACTTTGGACTTGATGTTAAAGCTGGGCTCTGTGGCACTTCTGGAGGGAAGGTCTGGGCTGGTCCCATTGCCGTTTTCTTGGGGTATGGAGTGTTGTATTATACTGGGATCTTAGCGACAGGCTGGGGACCTGCAAGCTTTCACTGCTCCCAAAGTGGGTGATTGGGTAAAGTGTAATCGCTCACTCTAATCTGAGCTCTTCAAGTTCCTGACCTGAGTTTCTGTCTGAGCAAGAGTGGACTGCTCCGGCACTCAGCCCCTATCAACCTACTGGAAAGTTTCTTTGTCTTAGAGTGGCAGAATCGTAGTCTCCCCTTTGGCCTGGGATTTCTGCCTTTGTTATTTCTCTACAGGCTGGGCTAGAAGTTTGAAGGGAGACCCTTTGACCTGAGGTCTGAGCCACACTACTGCTGCTGCTACTCTTCTGAACTTCCTATTTACTTAGTACACTGCCCAGCTTCTCCTCTCTACCTAGGAATGCCCCTGCAAACGGGAATTACTTTGCCCAGGATATGCCATCAGGAACTTACTAGTGGGTGACAAAATTTGTCAGTTGGCACCTGTTTCCATCGCAGTACCCCCCCTGTGGGTCTGATAGTGTCCTCTTATGGGTCTGGGAACTCCTCTTGCTCTATTGCACAACTTCTCCTGCAACTCTGTGTGCAGCATACTCCTGGGCTGATCCAGGCTCCAGTGCTCCAGGCCTTCCTGTCTGTTTCCCTACTTACCTGGGCTAGACAAAGGACTCATTTTAACCTTTTCTGTTTTTCTCCACTAGGATTCAGTCTGATGCATTTTCTGGGTATATTAGGAAGAGTTTGTGGAGACGAGCTCCACTACCTTGCTTCCTTTCCCTCTGTCATCTTGGTTTTGCCTCCTTTAGCCATGCCTCTTCCAACTCTCAACAGCAAGAAATCAAATTGTTAGGAAGAAATAGATGCTAGTGGGGCAGCTAGGTGGCACCGTGGATAGAGCACTGGCCTTGGATTCAAGAGGACCTGAGTTCATATCCAGCCTTAGACGCATAATACTTACTAGCTATGTGACCCTGGGCAGGTCACTTAATCCCACTGCCTAGCCAAGAAGGAAAGAAAGAAAGAAAGAGATGCTATACAGTAGCTTTTCATATTGAGGATACTGAGATGTCTCCACCAGATTGATATAAGCTCCCCCCATCTTCCCTACCCCAACTGTTCTAGAAACCCATCTAAAAGAGAAAGAAGGAATCACCTCTGTCTTATCCTCTTCCACCTGCTAGGCAGCGATAATCCTGGGTCTGATAGGTAATTTTTTAATATCCCATCTTTGCCTGTCATTTACTGGCCAGTGACTTAACCTCTCAGAGCCTCAGAAAGCATGATGTAAAGGAAAGGCCAGATATGTAGTTCAAATCTTGGACCTGTCACTTCCGCCTTTGTGAACTTGATTTAATGTCTTAAGTTGTCCTCCCTTGTAAAATGAGGGAACCTTCTATCTCCAGATCCTATTATTCCTCTTCTCTAAAAGGAGGCTAATACTTGAGCTATCTGCCTCCCATAGTGATCATAGATAAATACTTGTTAAACCACAAAGTGCAATATAATCATCGTTAGTAGTAGTTGTAATATTCCCTTTAACAACAGAGTTGCTACTGCTTCTAGATCCTGGACAACAACCCAGCAAAAGAGTAGAAGAGGGAAGCTGTCCCTTTCTCTGCCCCCCACCCCAGAAAAGCCTTTTATTTAATTGCTCTCGTACCTAGATTTTACGTGTTTGCTTTAACAGTTTTGATATTGACTTATTCCCTAAAGTAGCCGTTATTTATAAAACTTAGTTAAATCCCCTTAATTAGTATAAGGCTCCATGTCTCAGCAAAGAGTCTGGTTGCATTTTACTTTAAAATACTCTAAAAATCCTCAATTTGATAAAGGCATTATGAATCTTAGAAAAGTTATCAACCCTATGCACATTACAGGAGAATAACAGCAAAAACAGTGCAGTTCTTCTCTCTACTCTCCGATCTATGCCAATGTTTATTTTACAGTTATGCCAGTAGATAGTTGTTTTGATAAAATGTTCAAAATAATTGATGTCTACATATAGTCAACTGGAATGTTGCCACATCATTATACACAATCAAATTTTATGACAGCTCTGGGGAGAAAACAGTTTTAGAAATCTAATGATGATTTCTAGCTTCCGTATCATGGGTAAGGGAATTCATCTGTTGGTGGATGTTTTAAATTTGACCTCTAGGTGGAGCATGATTAGAACATGGCCATTGTGTGGATTCATTTTGCTTGACTATACTTGTTACGTAGGACTTTTTTTTTTTTTAAATGGAAAGGGAGCATGAGGAGAAGAGTTACTAATAATGATGGAGGGGAAAAGAGCGATTGAAACATTTTTGATAAAGCATATGTAGAAGATAACATAAGGACGTTCAGATGAAATCACAGACGAGCAGGACAGTTTTGAAAGTAACGTATTACATTTCTTATGTACATTTTTTAAAAAAATGCAAGTGATTTGAAATAAAGATTCTTCATATACAGTCTTTGCTTGTGTTTGCTGTGTATGTGGATATGTTATTTTTAGTGTTTCAGAATAAAAAGCACATTTTTTTAAACTAGAAGAGAAAGAATAAGACTTAAAACAACAAGGCATTCTCAAGTTATTTAGCCCAATCTCCTTTAAAATTCTGTTCCCCCCCTCACCTTTTGCTGTGTCTTTCCAAGACAGAAATGCTGATGGATGAACTCTATAGTCTGTGCAACTACATATTATAGATTGAAAAATAGTCATTCTTCATTCACTTAATTTTTCTTGTGTAGATTGTTAAACCAAACTTTTGAGAGGGTGTAGAGGCTTTGAAATGCTGTTGTGGTTTGATACAGTGAACACAATCGCATTTACAATGCGAATATCTGAAGGTCCTCAAATTTACTGGATCCCTCTTCAACTTTGACTCTATGCTCTATCTCAATCATGACCATGACAAACATTTTTAGGGGACATTTGTCTCTCATATGAGGAGGCTCACTTGATTCTTATTAATAATTATTAAAAGGATTCAAACAAGGTTATTTCTTTTGTTCCATCTTTCATGAATTCTCATATAATTTTGTCATTCAGGCAAGGCACTTTGATGGCAGAGGGCCTTTAAGGCAGCATTTTGCTCTTCTGAATAAAATGTTGGATTTTAAAATCATCATAAAATAACTCCAAGTGTTGTTGCTCTACTCTTTGATACTAAAATGAGTTTGTTAAGAAAATCCTTACAGATTTTTTTCCATCTTTCATTTATTTGTTGTTTTCTAGTTTCATGCTTAAGTGTTCCCTGGATGACTATTCAATTGAGTCTGTCACCAAGTTTTCTTTAAACTGATTTTTCCTTCCAATTCTTTTTGTTGTTTTATTAGGTGATATTGCTTATATTCTTTCACCAGTCTTTTGTTTTTTATTGTCTTTTTTTATTCTTTTTTTGGTTTTGTTTTTAGTTCTAGATTCTTACCTACATGTCCTACCCATTGAGAAGGTAAGAAATTTTTTAAAAAGCCCATTACACATATGAAATCATACAAACCAAATTTCCATATTAACTACATTCTGAAAAGGGGAGTGGGGTAAGAAAAACAGAGAAAAAACAAACCATACCTCAATCTGTATTCTATCAGAAGGTGGATAGCATTTTTCCTTATGAGTCCTTTGGAACAGTGGTGGGCCATTCCATAGATCAGTTATTAAATGTTTCGCAGTTGATTATCTTTACAATATTGCCGTTTCTGTGAAGCTTGTTTTCCTGGTTCCTGCACCCTTCATTTTACATCAGTTCCTGTAAGTTTACCCAGGTTTTTCTGAAACTGTCCCCTTCATCATTTCTTATAAGAGGATAGGATTCTATCACAATTATATACCACAACTGGTTCAGCTATTCCCCAATTGATGGGCACTGTGACCCAGAACTAGATAATGGGATAACAGCTGCCACATGTCATCTGGTCCTACTGCTAGTACAGAGGTCTCCTGATATCTCTTTCTGCCCAGGTGTTTACTATCACTGGGTGCTAATGTTTAAGGACTTGTTTGTATGGCTGAGTTCTTTTTGCTGTTTGTTGTTGTTGCTGTTGTTTTTGCTCATTTTCCCAACCTATTTCTTGACTCTGAATATTATGTTGGAGTTAGCCTCTTCACCTGGGGGTTTGGAGGGTGGTCACTGTTTCAAGCTAAGGCTTTTTTGCCTTGCTATTTTCACAGCCAGGTTCTGGGGGTCTGTAAATTTTTGGTGCTTCCAAAGTGATGTGATCTGGGGGGAGAGGTGTGGTTACTGCCCTCCTGGTCTGAGCTCCGGTTCTTACTCAGGAAGGGTCTCTGCTCCATTGGGATACCATATTCTGTCTACCTTGGTACTGCAACCAGTAACTATGGCCTCCGTTTCCTTGTGACTCCAATGCTCCTCTCTACCCTGTAACTGAGATCCTGGGAATAGATCACCTGCTCCCTTTCAACCTCACATGTGAGGTAAGTGCTGTTATCATTCCTATTTTACAGATAAGTAAACTGAGGCAGACAGCAGTTAAGTAACTTGCCCAGGGTCACATAGCTAGAAAGTATTTGAACTCAAGTCCAGCTGACTCCAAGTCTAGCACCCTATAATCATTATAATCCTTAACCTTTCAAGTGAAGATTTGTCAGACTGTTACCATAGGAGTGAGGACCTCAGAGTACACAAGACCTGGCTTAGGATCCTGCCTCACGTCCTTTAGCTGCGTGACCCTGGAGAAGTCATATAATTTCTTTCAGCCTCACTTTCCTCATCTGTATAAAAAGAAGGTTGGACCTGATGGCATCCTAGGTTTCTTCCGGCTCAATAATAAACTATGATGCTATGCTGCCAAGGTTACCAAAAGCCAGCTGTGCTCTGAAAGCAGTCACTGTTTATTTTTCTATGCTGCCATGCTAAGGTGTGCACAGGTGCAGAAAGCTGACTTACTTGTTTGTTTCTTAAGGTAGGGTCTAGAATACTTGCAAGCATCAGCAAATTTCTTTTTAAACCTTAGACTTTTGGACCTCATATTGAGAACACATGAGTCTGGATTTTCTGAGAGTGAATAAATTGCACATGATGCATTTTACATGTAAAAGACTATGCCTTGTCCATGTGGTTAAAGTCTGGGGACCTGGGAGAGATCCCTTTAAAAAAAAGCCCCACAGTGAGGGAGTAAACTCTGACATGTCTGTTCTTCCATTCCAGATGGTGAATGGACTCCACTGAATCCTCTGTGTTTTGTAGAGGCCATAAAGACTGATTAACCATGACTCAGATGAGGGAAAAAGAATATACTGCTGGTGCTACCTTAAATTGATGACCCGGTCAATTAATGTTAAATTACAATGTAGCTCATGGAGAAAGACTTGTAATGCTTATTTCATGTCAAATAGATTCATCCTAATTAATGTTATGACTGTGACTTTTGGGGGAAATTAATCATTTCTTATTTCATCCTTTATTTCAGGGGTGCTTGTAGCACAGAAAATTTCCATATTTTTGACAATTTTTCATAAGGTAACATGTAGATAAACATACTGAAATGGTTCCTAGAGTAGTCCATGAATCCAGGTAGTTGTAGGGAATCTAATGCTTTTTTTTACTCTTTGTGAAATAACTGGCTGTTTTGCAGATCCATTTCCTATGTTACACAAACAAAGAAAATCTTGGTTTGATCCAGTCTTGATTCTGGAGAACATATAATAAAACATCCATCACTCCTATTGGTTGTTGTTGTGTTTGTCCTTCGTTCTCAAAGAGGATCATGACATCAGGGAGGTGATGACATGCCTTGCAGTTGACTTTGATTTGAGTGAGGGAGGGCTGTGCAAGGTCACCAGCCTCACTTTCTCCTCCAGAGCCTTCTGGGTCCAGTGGCCAGATATTCATTAGGACAACTGGAGAAGGCCATCAATGCAATGGAAGACCCTGACCCTTTTAAGCTAAGGTCTTTTCAGGTTCTCACTTCCAGTGAGGTAACACCCATTCAGTGAATAGGCCTCTTTAAGGAGTGAGTCAAGGGATGGCCTCTTTAATTAAAAAAAAAAATCAAGCCAGGAGGGGAAAACCTTCAGGGTTACTTGCCAAAAGAGAAACAGTTAATATTTACATTTACTCTGAGCAAGGAGGGCCCAAAAAAGAACAATGAAGTGGTGCTTGGCCAGGGACCTATTGTTGTCCGACTGGGTCTCCTGTTGGTAGAGAAGTGGGAGACTACATGTTGTATATGCTGTCCCAAAGCACATCACTTTGCCAGTTAGTTTTGCTTGATTGTTTTATTACGAGAGAGGGTTCATTGAGGTGGGGAGAGCATATCAGGAAATGACTTTGATAAAAGAAGCTCTCAAAGGTATCAATTTAAAAAGGGGATAAATCTGACAATTCATTTGTTTGTGCCATCTCCCTCATCTCTATAAAACTATGGCACTTAGCAGGTTTTATTCCTCATTTTATCTCTCCCTGTTTACTAGGTCTTTTATTAGACCCTTTCTTCCCTGCCTTCTTGGATTCCCACCCTGAATTTTTGTGGATTGGGAATTGGACATATCATTGTAGCATGAGTGTTCCACTTAGGCCCTTTCTTTCCACCAAAATTGTGACTGGATTTGTCACTTAATCCTATCTTTATCCATTAGGCATTAGCCTCTTCTTCTTTTATTAGTTTATTTTTAATTTTCAACAATCACTTCCATACGCTTTTGAGTTTTAAATTTTCTCCCCCTCTCTTTCCTCTTCCCTCCCCAAGACAGCATGCAATCTGATATAGGCTCTACATATACATTCCTATTAAGTATATTTTCACATTAGTCATGTTTTAAGGAAGAATTAGAACCAATTGGAAGAAACCACAAGAAAGAGGAAACAAAACAAAGCAGAAGAAAAAAAAAAGAGCAAACAGTATGCTTTGATCTGCATTCAAACTCCATAGTTCTTCTCTGGATGTGGATAGCATTTTCCATCATGAGATTTTTGGAGATCCCTGCATTGCTGAGAAGGGCCAAGTCTATCAAAGATGATCATCACACAACGTGATTGTTACTGTGTAGAATGTTCTCCTGGTTCTGCTCACTTCACTCAGCATCACTTCATGTAAATCTTTCCTGGTTTTTCTGAAGTCTGCCTGCTCATCACTCCTTATAGCACAATAGTATTCCATTACATTCATATACCACAACTTGTTCAGCATTCCCCAATGGATGGACATCCCTCAATTTCCAATTCTTGGCCACCATAGAAAGAGCTGCTATAAATATTTTTGTGCATGTGGGTCCTTTTCCTATCTTTATGATCTCTTTGGGACACAGCCCTAGAAGTTAGGCATTAGCTTCTTTCTTTTCCCTTGACATTCTCTGCTTTGGTGATCTCATTAGCTCCCACAGGTTCAATTAGACTCTCATATCAGGAAAGAGAAAGGAATAAGCATTTACAGAGCGCCAACTAGGTTCCGGGGACTGTGCTAAGCGCTTTACAAATATTATCTCATTTGCTCCTCACAACAACCCTGAGAGGTAGATGCTGTTATTATCCATACTTTACAGTTGAAGATACCAAAGCAAAGAGCAGGTAAGTGACTTGCCTAGGGTTATATAGCTAGTAAATGAGGCTGGATTTGAACTCAAGTCTTCCTGACTCCAGGCACAGTGTTCTACCCTCTGTATTACTTAGTGGCCTCAACTACCCATCTGACATTTCAAACTAGATGCCCTGAAAGCACCTCAAATTTGACGTATTAAAATGGAGCTTGTTGTATTTTTCCCTAAACACATCCTTACTCCAAATTTTCTCATTTATTTTGCTGGCTCTACCATCCTTCTAGTCACCCGGGTTTTCTACCAGGAAATCATGCTTAACTGTTCATTCTCTCAACTCTCATAACCAATCTTTTGTCAGCTCTAGCCAATCCTACAACATCTCTTGCATCCATTTTTTTTTTGCTTACATTGTATATACCCCAGGTTGAGCCTTCATTGCCTTTCATCTAGATTTACACTAGATTCTAAATTGGTCTGCCTAATTCCAATCCCTCCTCTCTCTACTTCATCTACTACACAGCTGTCAAATTGCTATTCTTATAGTATAGATCTGTTTCACCCACAACTCAAAAAAAAAGTTTTAATGATTCTCTATTGCCTCAAGAATAAAATATCACATCTCTAGTCTATATTTTAAAGCCCTCCAATACAATATGGTTTCAAATTACCTTTCCAGGCCGACTTCACATTACTCCCGCTCTGTGGCTCTTTTTTTCCATTGTAGTCAAAGGGGGCTGCCAGCCCTACGCATGACCTTCTGTTTCTCATCTCTGTTCTTTTACCCAAATGGTCCTTCATGTCTGGGATGCACTCTCTCTTCACAGTCAGTTCGTAGAATTCCTAGTTGTCTTTGAAGACTTACTTAGGTTCCATATCCTATATGACACCTCAAAAAATGACTTCATATTACTTTGCAAACACTTCATATATTTTAAGACTTTATTTATTTTTATGTATTTATTCATGTATGTATGTACATATGTATGTATGTATGTATGTATGTATGTATGTGTAGCCCCTAGTAAATTGTCAGATTCTTGATGGCAAGATCTATTTTCCTTCTCATCTTTGTATGCCTAGTGCCTTATATATGAGTCACTTAATAAGTGCTTATTGAATTGAATGTCTTCATACTCAGTGCATCTAACTTTTCTTCTCCCTCAAGTAAGTCCAGGTTGGCTGAAAACCTTTCTGATATTTGCTGATGGCATTCATAATTTTGATTTCTCTTTTTGCTTCTTATGAAAAACATGTTCATGTTTTCAGTCAGCAAGCATTCAATAGACGGCTACTGTATGCCAGACACTGTGTGAGGATCCAGAGACAGACAAAGCTGTTCCCGCATTCTGGGAGGTTACGTGCCTTTTTTCTAACATTTCCGCAGCGCTTGGGTCTGTTTCTCTTTTCCAAATTTCTCCATGGCAGGTGTTCAGTCGCCGGCTTCTGTTGAATCTTCTGCGTGGGCTGGCTAGGGCTGACCATCCCTAAGAAGCAATTCGCTGGCTGGTTGCTGTGAACTCTGTGTTGAGAAGGGCGATGCAAAAGGCACGAGTGCTTGGTGCGAGCAGAAAAGCTCATTTCAGCCTCTGACTCAATCGCTTTGGGGACAGAAGTCTGAAGAAGTCGCGTCCCTGGCTTTTAGCACAGTGCTGGCCACTTACTCGGTTCTTGTTGACTCTCTGACTGAGGTTCAGTGACTTTGGGTGCTGGACCTATGATGGAAGAAGTACGGCTGCACGCTTGTGTTTTTGGAGCTCAAGACCCTAAGGGAGATGATGGCTTCTCCCTCTGACATACGAGAATGACATAGATTAAGGCCCTAAATGTGCCTAGAAAGAAACACTAGTCAGTGCCAATGCACAAGAAAGAATGCGGTACGCAGTAGGCACTTCATAAATGTTTCTTGATTGGTTAATTGGTACAGCGTAAAGAGTGACCAGAGGACTTGGGTTCGAATCATGACTCTGACACTTTTTTCCTGTCTGATCTTGGGCAAATCATTTAACTTCCCTGGCTTCAGTTTCAAGTCGATCAGCATTTATTAAGCACTTACTATGTTCCAGCATTGTGCTAAAGCTCTGAGAGTACAAATATGAGTAAAATGAAAAATATTCTGTTTTTCAAATTATGATTTTTCTCTCTGTTCTTCTATACAACACCTTTTCCTATTAAAAACACTAGAGAGCATAGGAATAAATGGAGTCTTCCTTAAAATAATAAATAGCATCTACCTAAAACCTTCAGCAACTGTGTTCCTTCAGTTATTTTAGCTTAATCTTTTTTTTAAGGTGGGCCTATTTCCACTGACTCCCTTCCCTCACCTTCCTTGTCCCACCTCCCATTAGTTAACCATCTGGCTATTTAATTCTTCGCCTCTTTTCCTCCCTCTCTTTTAGTCAAATAGATACCCTCTTTCTCTCCTCTCTTCAACCAGTCCTATTTATTAGCTTTAAAAATGTCATTCTTTGTGCCCCTTTCTAGAGGGGATTTCTTTCAGTCCCTCTCTCCATTATCTAGACCCTTCTTCTTTCCTGTATGACCTCTGTAATGATTTAGTCCCTCACTATTCTCTGCATTCCTCATGGAATCAGAACTTCCAAGGTGTACAGTCTAAATTCTTCCTTCAAGGCACTTTCTGCCACTTCCTTGTACAGCTTGCCCTGTGGATTCGCCTTTTCCATTGTGACTCCCAGAAAAATGCCAATTCTTTCAGGTGACAGGACACTGCCCCATGGTAGGGCCTCCCTTTCCCACCCCATCCCTGGTTATGTAGCCCACTACTGATCTTTACCCTCCCCCAGTTCCCTTCTTTCTCCATTTGACTCAATAGCTCCTCCCTGGGTCTATGGCCTTCTAGTTTCCCAGGGGCCAGTTACCTCCAGGAGTTCCAGATCTCCTCCTCCTTAGTGCCAGATCCCCCAGACAACACCTGGCACAAGATCACCATCTCCTTTACAGAACATCTCTCTTCACCTGTAGAAACATTTATCAGTAGCCCCTTCCTACTACCAAAGGTAGGCTTTCTCTGCCCCCTTTTTAATTCTTTCCGCCTTCCGCCTCACCCATTCCCTTTTGGGATCCTCTCTTTTTGAAATACCAGAGGTCACCTTCCCCTCATTGCTGGCCCTTGCTTTGACTTGTGTGTATCACACATAGTTCCACCCATCTACTCCCCT